CCAGCCCCCAACGGGCTACACACAGTTCTGCGATTTAAAAAGATAGTTTTGAGAACAGTTATTTTGCCTGTAAAATAACTACAATATTTTTCCAATTATTGAGAGTTTACAATTTACTGGGCACTGAGATAACCCCCTGTGAGGTATGACATCCTCATTTTACAGAAGAGACAAACTGAATGTCCTAGAGGATAAGCATCTTGCCTTGGGCATCCAGCTGAGACTGCGCCCTGTTCACACGGGGATTCTGAAGGAAGGGAAAGTGGCCATATTGGGATGCCCAGGAGATGGGGGATTAAAACCTATGGATTAGAGGTTGAGGGAAGAGGATGAAAGGAAGGAGCCGCTCCAGGTGCTTCATCCCCTGACCAGGTTTCCAGGACCCTCAGGAGAGGGGGACAATGACAACCTCTGGTCAGTGGCCAGCATAAAACCGCCTCCATGTCACCTGGCACACAGGCCCAGAAGTAAGAGGCACTGAGCTCTGGGCTGGGTAGGAGGCCATTAGAACTTTCTGGAGCACCTCCCCCAGCAGGATGAGTTGAAGACCACTAGGGAGGTGTTAATGAAACAGGGAAGCTGCAAACAGACTCAGGAGTGATTCCAATCTGACACCTCCCCCTACCCAGCCCCCACCAGTAATGAGCTGGGACCTGCCCTTCCCCCGAGAGAGCGGGGTGAGGGGCGGAGGAGGCTTTCTTGGGTATTTTTTTTTAGCTTCAAAAGCCTCCTTTCATTATCATCATCATCATCATCATCATCGCAATTAAAAGATCACATTTATTGAACACCTACTGTGTCCCAGGCACTGTGCTAAGTCTTTTTCATGTATCCCATCATTAATCCTCACCTACAAACCTTAAGCCTACATGGGAAGTAGTATTCTTACCTCCGTTTTACAGATTAAGAAACTGAGGCTCAATCAGAGTAAGTGACTTGCCTAAGGCAGGGCCCACATGTGGACCCGGCGCTGTCTGACACCCTGCTTTTGGTACCGGACTTCTGCCCCACCGAGAACTCCTTCAGGGAGGCATGTATGTGTGGCCTCAGGGCTGGAGCTGAGTGGCGAATAAAGGCAGTGCACCCAGTACGCATCCTTGAAGTTCAGAATTGGGAAGAAAGACATTGGTAGACTGAGTCAGTGGGACAGGGACAAGTAGGATCCTGGCCTTGCCGCCAAGCCTCCCTGTCTGCTTTCCCTGCTCTCCGCTTCCACATGTGTATACACTGAGAAGGGGCCAGGAAGTTCGGTGGAGGAGCAGGAGGAGGGACCTCCAGCACTGTTCACTGCCTGGGGAAGGGGAGGCAGAGGGGTTCTGACTGGGGATGAGGACTGAAGAAGTGGGGAGGGGTTGCTGGGAAGAAGACCCCTGCCTCACAACCCCAGGAGTGAGGGGCTGAGCGGCTCTGCAGTGGAGCCCCGTGTTTGTAAACACCATTAATCAGGGATTAGCAGATGGGCCTGCTAATTGCACCTGTGGAAGTGAGAAACCTCAAGGTTGATTACATTTACAAACTGTGGGGATCCCTGGCACCTGGCCCTGCAGGAGTCGGTGGTGGTGATGGTGGTGGTGGTGGTGTGTGCGTACGTGTGTGTGTGTGTGTGTGGGGGGGGGGTGCTGTCTAATTTAGGACCCCAACCTAGGGGGAGGGGGATTGACAATTTAGCCTCCTGCCAAAAAAATACTCCAGGCCTGCAGCAGGGATCTGAGGTGCCAGCCTTGATTTAGCTGCTCTGAGAATACCAAGTCAGTGCCAATCCTTCTTAGACCCTTTCCGTCTTGGCATCTCAGGGTCTTGGAGTCCTGACAAAGGGGGCTCCTACAAATGTCATTCCAACCCCTCTCCTCCCTCAACTCCTTCCAGCAGTTGCCAGGGGTAAATAATTGTGCACTGCAGCTGAAGGGGGCCAGAGCCTACGGGAAAATTGAGGCCAGGTTGGTTGGGAAGCACAGCCCAGCGCCCTGACCTCTAGATCTAGCCCTAGAGGCTTCGAGGAGCAGCTACTGTGCTCCCCCAGGCATGGGGCTGAGAGTTTTACATGTATGATCTCTTTCAATCCATACCACCATCCTTTGAAGTGGACACCATTGTCATCCCAATTTTATAGACGATGAAAACTGAGGCTTGGAATTTAAGGGACACGTCCACATTTATACTTCTAGCAAGCCACAGAGTTGGAACTCAAAGCAAGCACTGTCTAGCAGCCAGGCTCCTGCTTTTAACCACCACTGCTCTCTCCTCTGACTTCATTCCAACTCTGCCCTGCAGGGGATGGACCCCCACCCAGCCCCTTCACACCCATAGCCACAGCCTCCCCAGCTCCTGGGTACTTAACCCACGCTTGCTGAGCAGTGTCCACTCAGTGTACAGGCACCGCGCCAGGCACCAGAGGCTGCTCAAAGGAGAATCAGACCTCACTCTCCTCATCCTTAGGACCTCAGACCCTCCCTCTTTGTTGGGGGGACTGCCTGTATACCGGAAATAAGCACACATCTATGTGTGCATGGCCTGTAATGTATAGCCTCAATCCCCTTTGGTTTAAGTGAACCTGTCTTCCCAGAGGCCAGCCAGCCTGCTGCCCAGGGAGTGAAGCAGGGAGAAGCCCCCTATACCTGACGAAGCCCAGGAGAGTCTTCCGGATGGCCCAGACAGGGAAAGCTGATGAACAGCATGCCCAGGGCAGGTTAGATCGGGTTCCAGCCACCATGGAGGAGTCTGTGAGGGGTGGGGTACCTGAGTAGCCCCTACTCCAACTTCTAAGTTCCATGTTGGGCTTGGTTCTAGAGAGCAAGCTCAACTCTGCACCCCATATGCGGGGAGCACTGGGACGCCTACATTCATTTTCATCAAGTGTATTAGGTTTCTCCAGAGAAACAGAACCAACTGTGTGTGTGTTCAAGAGATTATAAGGAATTGGCTCAGGCACTGATGGAGGCGGGCAAGTCTCAAGATGTGTGGGGTGAGTCAGCAAGCTGGACGCCCAGGAGAGCTGATGGTTTCATTCCAGCCTGAGTCTGAAGGCCTGAGAACCAGGAAAAACAAGGGTATCATCTCCATTCAAAGGCCAGAACGCTTGAAATCCAGGAAGAGGTGATATTTCAGGTCTAGTCTGAAGGTAGGAAGGCTTCGCTGACTTGGGAGAGGTCAGACTTTTTGTTCTATTCAGGCCCTCAACTGAATGGATGAGATCCACTCACATTAGGGGTCTGCTTGACTCAGTCTACCAATGTAAACGTTCATCTCTTCCAAAAACAGCCTCATAGAAACATCCAGAATGTTTGACCAAACATCTGGGCAACCCATGGCCCAGTCAAGGTGATACATAAAATTAACCATCACATCAAAGTCTGTATTATTGTGTGCTAGTCCTGGGGTGCAGTGTCCTCTGGTTTACAGAACATCTTTTACTGATACTCTCTCATTTTATTTTTATAACTTCTGCTGAAAAGGAAGGGGATAGATAGGGCTGGTAATAATGGTACTATCCCCAAGACGAGGAGGCTGAGAAGCCATCTAAGTGGAAAGCCACAGACCCAGGACTCGAATGAGCACCTTCCGGAACCCGAGGGACAGATGAAATCTCACCCTCACCTAAACTTTCAGGCATGAGCTCAAAAGCACAGGTGTGCATGAGAAGAAGTTTTGTGGACATGAGTGGGTGGCTCAAAGGCCACTGATTCTTGAACCTGGCCACACAATGAGATCAACTAAGTAGCTTTAAGAAATACTGGCCAGGCCGGGCGCGGTGGCTCAAGCCTGTAATCCCAGCACTTGGGAGGCGAGACGGGCGGATCACGAGGTCAGGAGATCGAGACATCTGGCAACAAGTGAAACCCGTCTACTAAAAATACAAAAAAAAAAAACTAGCGGGCGAGGTGGGGGCCTGTAGTCCCAGTACTCGGGAGGCTGAGGCAGGAGATGGGTAATTGGAGGCGGAGCTGCAGTGATCTGAGATCAGCACTGCACTCCAGCCCGGACGACAGAGCCAGACTCCGTCTCAAAAAAAAAAAAGAAAAAGAAAAACTGCCAGTAGGCTGGGCACGGTGGCTCATGCCTGTAATCCCAGTACTTTGGGAGGCTGAGGCGGGAGGATCACCTGGGGTCAGGAGTTCGAGACCAGCCTGGCCAACATAGTGAAACCCCATCTCTACTAAAAATACAAAAAATTAGCTGGGCGTGGTGGCTCACGCCTGTAATCCCAGCTACTCGGGAGGATGAGATAGGAGAACCGCTTGAACCCGGGAGACGGAGGTTGCAGTGAGCCAGGATTGTGCCACTGCACACCAGTCTGGGCAACAGAGCAAGACTCCGTCTCAAAAAAAGAAAAAAACCAACACATGGCTCCTTCTCCAGAGATTCTGATTTAATCAGTCAGGTGCCTCTGGGCTTCTGAAATATTAAAAATATCCTCCTCCTTGATCCCAATGACAAGCCAAAGTGAAACATCACTATACTAGGCGCTTGGCCAAGAACGAAGCAGGGATGGGTCAGAGCCTGTGTGGCAGTCAGGGACAGGGAGCTCAAGCGGGACAGATGCTGATCAGTGCAGTTTATGAAGGAATTCTGTCCTCTTTCTTGAGAGGCGTAACTTTGACTTTAAAAAGATCTTAGGCCCTTTTTAGGCCAGGCAGAGTTGCTCACCTGTAACACTAGCACTTTGGGAAGCTGAAGCGGGCAGATCACCTGAGGCCAGGAGTTTGGGACCAGCTTGGCCAACACAGGGAAACCGTATCTCTACCAAAAAAATATAAAAATTAGCTGGTCGTGGTGCACGTCTGTAGTCCCAGCCACTCAGGAGGGTGAGGCAGGAGAATCGCTTGAACCTGGGAGGCAGACGATGCAGTGAGCCGAGATTGCACCACTGTACTCCAGCCTGAGCAACAGACTGAGACCCTGTCTCAAAAAACAAGGAGCTTAGGCCCTTTTTAAACAATTTCAAGTGTTGCTCTAAACTGGCATTGCCGTTAGAATTCTGAGAAAAATCCATTGCAGACGGATTCCAGAGAAAAGGGGAGTACGATTTATTGAGCACCTCATATATATGAGGCACTGAGTTCCTATTGCCCTCCATATTCTCCCAACAATCCAGGAGGGTAGGATTATTCCCCTTTCGCCCAGAAGGGCACTGAGGCCCAGATGGGTAAGGAGCCCGCCCAAGGTCATATAGCAGTCAGGACTGCAATTTCGGGGTTGCTATCCTCCAAAGCCACGCTCCAGGAGGGGAGATTTTTGTCTCTCAGAAGCCATTTGGCAATGTCTGGAGACATTTCTGGTTTCACAATGGGGGGTCATGCTACAGGCATCTAGTGGGTATAGGTGGGGGATTCTGCTAAACATCCTACTGTGCACAGGATGGCTCTCACAACAAAAACTTACCTGGCCCAAAATGCCAAGGGTGTGCAAGTTGAGACCACCTGCCCTAGTGGTTCTCAGCCTTGGCTGCACGTTAGACCAATGGTGGCGCTTTCGAAAGCCGATGTCAGGTGGCGGCACGCCCATCATGTCAGACTCTCTGGTGTCAGTGTTGGGTTTTTGTAAAGCATGCCAGGTGGTTCCAATGTGCCATCAGGACTGAAACACTTCTATGTTCCTCACACTGCTGGCTCCTGCTGCTTTCATGGGACCCGAGGGCAGGAGTGCCAAATCTGTCTCGGTTGTACAATCAACGGCAAGCCTGCTCCCAGTTCCTCCCCTGGAGGGGAACCGACTCAGTCACCCATGGGGGGCCCCGTCGGGTGAGAGGTGTTTGCTAATTTCCCCTCGCCTCTCACGGGGCTGCAGCCAGGAGTCTCCCCACAAGGAGGCTGTGGAAGCTGACTAAAGACTGGACTGAAGAGCGAGGCTGCCACCTAAAGGAGGAATTGGCCAGAATCTCCCAGGTGCTGAGTGATGTTTTATTCGAGCCTCACAACAACCCCGTGAGGTAGGTGCACAGTCCAGAGGCACAGAAAGATGAGACCTGTGCTCAAGGCCCCAGGGTGGGGCCGTGTGTGGGCCTGACGTGTGCACTGTCTACCCCACGTCAGGGTCCTGCCCTCCACACCCTACATTCTCACACACACATTTGCCACAGGCAATGACTGGTTCAAGAGGAACGGGTCCCCTGGGCTGGGCTGCCTGCCTCCCTGCAGATGTCTAGACTTCCCCTCAACTTCCAGACAGGGCCTGGGAGGAGAGTCTCTCCATGCTAGGCCATCATGGCTTCCCATGGAAATTAACAAACTACCATGTCCTACTACAGGTCCAACATCACAACAGGAAACAGCTTCCTCTGGTCTCCACCGCAGTCCCCTTCCCCCACGAGACCGTGGTCAATAAACATGGGCCTGGTGCACACTCAGGCAGAGGCTCCTGCACACTGGAGCAGGCGGAGGCAGGTGCGGCCGTCCCTGACTCCAGCATGTGAACACTGTGGACAGTCCACGTCAGCTCTCATTTTGCCTCTCTTTCTCTGATCCTGAAGACAGCCCTGGGTGCTGAGCCACGCTGAGTCCTTCAGACCGGTTCTTGCGGGTCTTGGAGAAGTTGCCTTCTTTCCCCTTCTGTGGGGAAACCCTTCCACTGGCTGCAAATGGAGTGAAGAAGAATTCCTGCACAGACACAAGGACAAGGGAAGAGAGGACGGAGGAGAGGGATGATGTTTAGAGACCGAGACATGTGTCAGGCAGTCACTCATTTCATCAACAGGATATCATTTCCCCATTTTGCATATAAAGCAACTGAGGCACAGAAACAGCCAGCAAATGGGATTAGAGGGCATCAAATCCCACCTGCATGATTAGAGGGAGAGAGGAAAGGGAAGGGGGAGTAGACTCACCTGCAGCCACAGAGACGTTCAAGGACTCAAGTCCAGGAGGCAGCTGGCGCCGGGGCAGGATGGTGAGGAGAACCTGACAGGAGGCCTGCACCTCTTGGGACAGACCTGACCCCTCATTCCCTGCAGGGCATGGGGCCGAGGGTTAGGGTTGCCCAGCTGGACATCCAATTGCTCGGGAAATGTAATCTGGGCACAAAAGCAGGGACATCCACCTACCCAGCACAAGGAGAGTAGGCCGATCCCAGGGGAACTCCAAGCAACTCGTGATGGGGATCTCGGAGGACTGGGGATCCTCTGCCCTTGGGCAGCCCACTGTGCCGGCCACGAGCCAGCCCTGCTGGGCTTTGGTCTGAAAGGGGGAAGAAGACATGTTCTAATTCTTTTTTTATTTTAATTTTGAGATAGGGTCTTACTCCTGCTTAGGCTGGAGTGCAGTGGCACGATCACAGCTCACTGCAGCCTCAACCTCCGGGACTCTGGTGATCCTCCCACCTCAGCCTCCCAAGTAGCTGGGACTATAAGCACTTGCCACATCACCCGGTTAGAAAACAAATTTTTGCAATTTTTTTTTGAGATGGCGTTTCACCACGTTACCCAGGTTGGTCTGGAACTCCTGGCTTCAAGCGATCCTCCCGCCTTGGCCTCCCAGAGTGCTAGGATTACAGGCATCAGCCACCACACCTGGCTCTCATATTCTAATTCATCAAATCTTCATCAGAGGCCGTACGCGGTGGCTCAAGCCTGTAATTCTAGCACTTTGGGAGGCTGAAGCAGGCAGATTACCTGAGGTCAGGAGTTCAAGACTAGCCTGGCCCAGGCAGTGGCTCACGCCTGTAATCCCAGCACTTTGGGAGGCCAAGTAGGAGGATCACCTGAGGTTGGGAGTTCAAGACCAGCCTAACCAACATGGAGAAACCCCGTCTCTACTAAAAATACAAAATTAGCCAGGTGTGGTGGTGCATGCCTGTAATCCCAGCTACTTGGGAGGCTGAGGCAGGAGAATCGCTTGAACTCGGGAGGCAGAGGCTGCAGTGAACTGAGACTGCGCCATTGCACTCAAGCCTGGGCAACAAGAGTGAAACTCCATCTCAGAAAAAAAAAAAAAAAAAAGCCAGGTGCAGTAGCTCACACCTGTAATCCCAGCACTTTGGGAGGCTGAGGCAGGTGGATCACCTGAGGTCAGGAGTTTGAGACCACCCTGGCTAACATGGTGAAATCCCGTCTCTACTAAAAACACAAAAAAACTAGCTGGGCATGGTGGCACATGTCTGTAATCCCAGCTACCTGGGAGCCTGAGGAAGGAGAATCGCTTGAACCCATGAGGCGGAGGTTGCAGGGAGCCGAGATCACGCCATTGCCTCCAGCCTGGGCAACATGGTGAAACTCTGTCTCTACTAAAAATACAAACATCAGTCTGGCCTGGTGGCGGGCACCTGTAATCCCTGCTACTCAGGAGGGATTCTCTTGAGACTAGGATGTGAGAATCTCCTGAGACCAGGAGGTGGAGGTTGCAGTGAGCCGAGATTGTGCCACGGCACTCCTGCTTGGGTGACACAGTGAGACCCCATATCAAAAAAAGAAAAAAAAAATTCTTCATCAGAGCCCTGGCCAAGGAGGAGCCCAGCCTTGCCCATACATTCATTTATTTGCTGATCCAGTCAATTAGTCAATAGATATTAAGCATCTAGCATGGGCTCTGTTCTAGGCACTGGGGACAGGGCAGTGAACAAAACAAAACAGACCAAAATCCCAGCCTTGTGGAAGGGCAGGTGGGGACAGACTCACTGAGGTGACATTTCAGTGCAGACCTGAAGGAGAAGGAGGAGCACCGTGCAGGCATCTGGGGCAAGAGCACTCTAGGCAGAGAGACCAGCAAGCACAGAGGCGGGTGCCTCCCTGGCATGTTTGAGAACAGTAAGATGGCCGTCAAGACAGAAGAGGGAACAACAGCCACATGAGGTAGGGTCTCCAGGGCTACTGGAAGGACTTTGACTTTGAATCTGAGCGGTACAGAGGCTTTGAAAGGTTTTGAGCAGAGAAGTAACATGGTCTGACTTCAACAGAATCACTCTGCCTGCTGTGCTGAGCGCCAAGAGCAGAAGCAAAGAGGCCAGGTGGGAAGTTTCTGCAATAATGGTCAACAGATGATGGTGACTTGCTTGGGTCAGAGTGGTAGCAGTGGAAATAGGGAGAAAGGGTGATAATATGGAAATAACTTCAGTTAAGGATGATGCCAAGGCTTTTGACCTAAACAATCAAAGGGATGGGGTTGCTCCAGAAGGAACAGGTGCTCAGCTTTAGAAATGTTAGGTTTGAAATGCCCACCTGACAGCAAAACAACAACTGTGGAGTAGGCGACTAGATGAGTGAATCTGGAATTCAAAACCAAGGTCCAAGCTAGAGTATACACTTGGGGGGAAATTTGAATTCAGATAGTATTTAAAGCCATGAGACTAGATGAGACCAAAAAGAAATGAACCTGTACAGAAAAGAGATCCAGGACCAGGTGAGGTGGCTCACGCCTGTAATCCCAACACTTTGGGAGGCTAAGGCAGGAGGACTTTTTGAAGCCAGGAGTTTGAGAACAGCCTGGGCAACAAAGTGAAATTCATCTCTACCAAAAAAAAAAAAAAAAAAAAAAAGAAAGAAAGAAATTAGGTTCTATGGTGTGCACCTGTATCTCCAACTACTCAGGAGGCTGAGGTGGGAGGATGGCTTGAGCCCAGGAATTCGGAGGCTGTACAGAGCTGTGATTGTGCCACTGCCACTTCAGGCTGTGGCAAGACCCACAACTCCCCATCTCTCTTTTTTTTTTTTTTTTGAGATAGAGTTTCACTCTTATTGCCCAGGCTGGAGTGCAATGGTGCAATCTCGGCTCACTGCAACCTCGCCTCCTGGGTTCAAGCAATTCTCCTGCCTCAGCCTCCCGAGTAGCTAGGATTACAAGGGCCAGCCACCATGCCCAGGTAATTTTTGTATTTTTAGTAGAGACAGGATTTCATCATTTTGGCCAGGCTGGTCTCGAACTCCTGACCTCAGGTGACCCACCTGCCTCAACCTCCCAAAATTCTAGGATTACAGGCGTGAGCAACCACGCCTGGCCAAACCGCATCTCTTAACAACAACCACGCCCGGCCAAGACCCCATCTCTCTCTTTTTTTTTTTTTGGACATGGAGGCTTACTCTGTCACCCAGGCTGGAGTGCAGTGGCACGATCTGAGCTCACTGCAACCTCCATCTCCCGGATTCAAGCAATTCTCCTGCCTCGGCCTCTGGAGTAGCTGGGACTACAGGCGCCCACCACCACATCCAGCTAATATTTTGTATTTTTAGTAGAGACAGTGTTTCACCATGTTAGCCAGGATAGTCTCGATCTCCTGACCTTGTGATCTGCCCGCCTCAGCCTCCCAAAGTGCTGGGATTACAGGCATGAGCCACTGCGCCCAGCCAACCCCATCTCTTAACAACAAAAGAGACCTTAGGACTAAAATCTGGGAAATGCTAATGCTCGGATGTCAGGGGGCTGAGGAAGAACCACTAAAAATGCCTCAGGACATGGTGAAGCAGAAGGAAAGCAGGTGCAGAGTGTTTCAAGGAGGAAGGAGTGGTCAGCTGTGCCAGCTGCTGCAGATGGGCCAAGTCAGAAAAGAATTAAGAACAGACCCTGGAATGCAGCAACATGGAGGTCACCCATGACCTTGACGAGGCCTTTGATTCAGTGTGAGAGGAGGGGCTGACTGGTGTGAGATCAAGAGCGTGAGAAGGGAATGTTTGCATGCTGAAGAGAGTGTAAGAGAAAAGTGGATGATGCAGGAGAGAGGAGGAAAACTGCTAGAGCAGTGTCTCTGAGTACCCAGGAAGGGATGGGGCCCCAGCACAAGCCCCTGCTTGGGGCACCTCCAGCTCTTCCACAGAAGCAGGCGGACGACACTCTCCAGGCCAGACGCTGAAGACACAGTAGGGAGATGTGATGACGGGAGCTTAAGTGGATGTTCTGCAGTGTTTCTGTGTTTTCAGAAGCTACCTGTTCAGGGGCTGGAAGTGATGAGTGGGAACCTCATCTCCTATCAGGCTTGGAGAAAGGGGCTCCCTACAAAAAGGTGACGCCAAAAAATTGCTTCTAGATATGTGTTGTATATAGTAGCCACTAGCTACATGTGACTATAAAGCAATTGAAAGGTGGTTAATTCAAATTGAGGTGTGTTGTATGTAAAACATTTTTTAAAGGAATGTAAAATATTTCGTTAATAATATTTTTAAAAGGTCAGGTGCGGTGCCTCACACCTGTAATCCCAGCACTTTGGGAAGCCGAGGTGAGTGGATCACTTGAGGTCACGAGTTCAAGGCCAGCCCGACCAACAGGGTGAAACCCCATCTAAACACACACAAAAAAATTAGCCCGGCATGGTGGCCTGTGCCTGTAATCCCAGCTACTTGGAAGGCTGAAGCAGGAGAATCGCTTGAATCCAGGAGGCAGAGGTTGCAGTGAGCCAAGATTGTGCCATTGCACTCCAGCCTGGGCAACAAGAGCGAAACTCTCTCAAAAAATTAATAATATTAACAATAATTAAAATGATTACATGTTAAATTGATATTATTTTGGATATACTGGGTACAATTTATTTAAAATGTCATCTCTTTACTTTTCAATGTGGCTACTAGAAAAGCTAAAACTACCTATGTTTCTCGCACTACATTTTAACCGGACAGCATTGCTCTCTAGACACGCCCCAGAGCTCTCCCACTTCTTGAGAGGGAAATTTCTCACCCTGCAGATGGGGTGGGGGTTGGGGGCAGTGGGTATGGTCAGAGGGGATTCCAAATGCGGAGCAATACTGCCCCCTTGTGTCCAGCGAGGGAAGCACAGCTGAAGACGGATGGGAGAGGGGTGCTTCCAAGGTTTGTCCCTTGCTAGGTATTAATGGCATACTGATCTCCTTGTTCAAACATCCTTTCAAGCTGTGCCCTATTCGAGGAACTCAAGCATCCTGTCCACCAACAAAATGCATTTACTGAAGCCCGACCTAGTAGGCAAGGAGACACTGAGGCTGACTTACAGAAGAGGCAAAGTGGTGCATATCTGGGAAGAGGTGCAGGAAAGGGTATGACGATAGGAAGAATTCAGATAATGCTCCAATTGCCGTTTTAAATACTCCAGGACCCTCCCATCCCCAGAGGGATTTGGAAGGCCGAAGGAAGCGATGCCAACAGGCCCCTTTCTCTCCCTCGCCAGGAGCTAGCTTCGTCCCCTTGAAGAGGCTGAACTGGGCTCATATCTGTTCCTTACCCTCTTGCCCCTCATTACCTGTAAAAATCCAGTGAGGTCATCGGTGGAGAACACGTCCATCACCTCCATAGCCCCCGCGCTGGCCTTGCTGACTACTGGAGTGAGCGGGCAGCTGCAAGGTTTCCCCATTCACCGCATTAGGCTGGGCCATCTCAAGCCCGGCTCCCTACCCTCCCCGGGCTCCCAAGGGCTAGAGGCGTGAGAGTTCTGGGACAGGTGAGTCTGGCTAAGGGATCACCCAAGGGCCAAGGTGCTTAGGAACTTGGCTGCATCTCCAAGTTGGGGCACATGGAGAATGAGGGACGTCCGTGCCTGTTTCTCCGGCTGGTGATGACCTTATCCACTCCGAGGAAGTGTGCGGAACGCAGCACAGCCCCAAAATTCCGGGGATCCTGGATCCCTTCGAGGACGAGCCACAACTGCTGGGGGTCGTCGCCTGGGCTCGCCTCCCCGGCCTCACTCCAAGGCCGGGGCCGCAGCGGGCTCACCTCCATGCAGACACCCTGGTGGACCTGGTAGCGGCACATTGTGTCCAGTTTCTGCCGTCTGGGCCGTAGAACTGGAATGTCCCGCGCCTCGGCCATCCGGAGCAGCTCGGCCCGCTCCCCCTGCAGCCCAGCTTTACCCGCCTGGAGCAGGAGCCGGGCCACGGAGCGGCGGGCGGCCCGCAGAGCCAGGAGACACGGGGACAGGCCAAACAGAAGCTCCAGCCGCGAGGTCGGCACCAGGTCATCCAGCAGCAAGCGGCTTAGCTCCTCCCCACCAGGCCGCTCCCCACGCCGCGCTGCATGGGAGAAATGACGGGTGACGAGGCGACCCCAGGTCGCGCCCCGGATGGTCGAGAGCAGTGCCATGGCGCAGCTCCCGCCAGGGGACTGCAGCCCCCTGCTGCGTCCCCGGGAACGGTAACCCACGCCGCAGTTCGCTCCCAGGCTCCCAACACAGGGGTGAAGGGTACTCGACAACTGCCTCCGCCGAGCTCTCTCGGACAGGAAGAAACAGGCCGCATTCCCCACAACTGGACTAGAGAGCTACGACCGTCCCCTCCCAAGCTCCCACGTGGGTTCCCTCGCTTCCGGGTTCGGGAGCCCACCCCCAGTCCCTGGCGCCTCTTCCTGACGGTGTTTTGCGCATGCGCGGTCGCCAGGCTGTCCCCACAGCACCTCCTACAGGGCTAGAGGAGCAGCGTGCTGAGCTGGCCGTACTACCGGCTGCGTCCTGTGTTCCTCGAGGTCAAGGAGGTCGGGGACTGCATTCACTCACGCACCAGCGAAGGGCACTTTAAGGAGATGGGTTGGCCTTCCTGGTCAACCAATTCAGTCTTGTTGCCTCCCTCCCCACATCCCGGCGCTGGTGATTTTCCCCAGAACTACTACTCACTAGCTCATCACCAGCCAGCAGGAGGACCCCAGCAGTCACTTCCTATCCCGGGCCGCTGATTCTCTTCCTAAGTGACTCTGAGCCTGTCCTGTCCCTGCTGATAAGCCCACTAACGCCCCCGTCCCACAGGGAATGGCGAGACTTTTGCGCAGCACTCAGCCCCCCAGCGATCCAGGAAGGCAGGAAGGAGCTGCCTCTTCAGCCCCATCTTGCTCCTGCACTTAAGTTCTGTGCTGTTCGCACAGCACTGCATGCTCTTCCAGGCCTCTCAGCCTTGCACACCTGTCTTCTTCGCTTTGTCAAACTCCTACACGTTTTCAAGACCCAAACAAACCCATTCCTGCTACCTAAGGTAATCCATACTCCCATGAGTGAGGCCCCCAATCCACCCACCAGGTAGGTCCCAGGTGGGACCGACCTGGAAGAAATTCTGAGACACAAGCACCCCTGATCACAGAGAAGGGGAAAGAATGGAAAGACACACTCCTGAAGCCAAGGCAGATTGGTTGCAATTTTTCTTTTTTAATGATCACCATGAAATCCTCTGGACCAGGCCCTGGTATTCTGCTGCCATAGTCAGAGTGGAGGGATGACCCCACGAGGGGACGAGCAGCCAAGATTGGGCTGGAGAGCCCAGAAGGAGAAAGAGAAGGGGAAGAGGGAGCAGTGGGGCAGGCAGAGGAGGAAGTCTGGAGCCCTGGATAACCACGCAGATATAAGGTGAAGGCCTCCCTCTGCCACCCCAGCCCTGAGCCGCAGAGGTTGAGGTGCAAGAAGATGGGGGGAATTTTGGCCACAACTCCTTTCCCATATCAAAGGGAAGAGACTGAGAGCAGACAAAGGCCACGGAGCCCAGGGGGACCAAGAACAAGTTAACAAATAAATCAATTAGGGACACCACCTCCTTTCCCCAGCCCATTTTTCACATTTACAACCGAAGCAATTTGACAAGATGATATAAAAATCTCAAACAAATTGTCTAGCCCCTGGTCAGGGTGTGGACAGGAAGTGGTATCCAGTGATCCAGAAATCAACACCTAAAATCCAGAGGCAGGAGGCAAGCCATGAAGGGTGGGGAGGGAAGGAGGAGCTCCCACAGTCACTAGGTCACCTGCTCCGTGGGCCTCATCTGGATGTCTCCAATCTGTGGAAGGCACAAGGCATGAGGCAGCTGCGACACTCTCCCCTAGCCCTGCAGGGCTCCCTGCTCCCCTCCTCTGGGGCTGGTTGGGTTCCTCCAGCAAGTGGACAGTCAGGGCCAGACTCACCTGGATGTGTGGGGGGGTGCTGAGGACGTAGATAACAGCCTCGGCCACATCCTCGGGTTTGAGACACTGAGAGCACCAGGGGAACGGGTTGAGACAAGGACAGAATGGACTCAAATTCCCTCCCACCACTGAGCTCCTCTGCAGCATCCACATGTCCACCCCAACCCTCCAGGAGGAGCCACAAAAGCTGGAAGGGTGGAGTCTCAAGGCCAAGGTTCCCTCTGCCTTCATTTAGGGGGTCAGTGGCTTCACCAGGCCCAGAGGGAGGCCCCACCTTCATTTGCTCATAGGTGGCAGCTGCCTTCTCAGGGTCCTTGTCGTGGAGTTTGAAGGCGAACTGTGTCTCCACCACACCTGGAGAGATGCACTGGGCCAACAGAGAGGGCCTGCTTAGGGGCTGAGCTTTGCCAGGCCTTGAGGAGGTTGAGGGGAGAGGATGGAGGCCACAGAACCCCAGCTTCACAATGACGGCTGCCCAACATCCAGCAGCCGCTTCCTCCCTCCGAAGCTGCCGCTGGCGGTGACCACAGTGATACCTACCATCTACAGAGCCTTTCCTATATGTCAGGTAAACGTTTTACAAAAAAGTGTCCCTAAAAAGCTCATCATCTCCTTTTCACAAGTGAGAAGGCCGAGGCTTGGGGAGGTTCAGTGACTCGCTCACGATCACGCGGCCTTCAAGAGAAGAGCCCGGAGTCCCGGTTTCCAGCCACTGTGCACCTGGTTTCCCACAGTCCCTTGCTTTCCCTCAGGTCAGCCCCCTCCCAGCTCAAAGTCTAAGGCTGGTCCTTGGCTCCTGGATCAGTGAAATGAGGAAATGAAGGGCTGCACAGGGCCATGCCGGGAGCAGCAGCACCCAGTTCTGTGCCAGTCCACTCCCGAGAGCTCTAAGCGGCACATTCTGAACATGGGCTTCCTGAATGGTGTGTGTGGGTGGGGAGGGCCTGCGCCACCCCGTCCCCACCAGGGCTAGGCCACAGCCTCACCGTGGCTCGGATGTGGGTCTGGGCCTCCCGAAGCTCTTGCCTCAGTCCCTCTGTCAGCGCAGTGACGGCGTACTTGGTGGCACTATAGAAGTGGGTCACAGACAGGGGTAACACTCGGTGGCCAGACATGCTGGGTGGGGAGAGGAAGGGGAAAGAGGAGAGAATGAAGCTCCAGGGAGACCAGCAGTGCCCCTGCCATACCCGGTCAGCCCCACCACCCAGATGTGCATCGGAAAGCCTTCTAAAGGGGACCTCTAGTGGCCATCTCACAGCTCATTAATCTAATTTTGGTTATTCAAACAGCTTCGGAAAACCTTCCTTTTCCTGGAAGTTATCCCTAAGCTGACCACAGAATGCACTCGCCTGGTGGTGCAGAATGTCAAAACTCTTTCCATCTAATCTGTATGTTCACTGATATGATTCTATTGGGACATCTCAGGGCAGGAAGAGGTCATGTTCCCCCTCAGACTGGGGCTCCCCAGTGGCAGATACTGTACATAGTCTTTCTTTGAGCCATGAGGTGGGGTTCATCCCCAGGCCTGAGGAATAGAGGCACTCAGTCCCAGGAGAGGCCTCAGGCTTCAGCTGTAGAGGGAAGGAACTGAGCTGCCCATTCCAGCCAACCAGGGGATGGTACTTGACAACATTATTCTTTCCCTCACCATAATTGTGCCATTCGGGTATTAAATCTGTACTTTCCCACCAAGGAAACTGAGGTCCAAAGAGGTCAGGTGAGCTGCAGCACATTACCCAGCCTGGTGGGTGAGTGGTACCCCTTGGCCACCTGCCCTCACCTATTGATGTTAATGATGTGCCCATCGTCCACATTCCGCTCCTTCATGGACTGGTAGGCTTCCCGTGTGCAGATGCTGAGGGCCAGCACGTTCACCTGCAGGCCAGGGAGGGCAATGAGGTGTCTCCACTCCAGCCCAACTGAGCAAGTGATGGAGCCACAGAATGCTAGGGGGGAAGGGGACAATGTGGCATTCCAAAACAGTGTCCAGGTCCTCCCAGAGACCAGCCACAGGCACAGGGCACCTTGTCTTCTACACAAGATGCCCCTCTCCTTAAAGCTGCAACCCCCAGTTGATAGCAGAGGTAGCTCCTCACCTGGCTGACCCCCCAAGTTCCTGCAAACAAGAATGGAAACCCTTCAAACCCACTCCTGACCCAGGAGACTCTGTCTTGGCCATCTCCTCCCTCTAATTCCAAAGGGAATCGTTTCCATTTCTTCCCCCAAATACGCTACTCTTCTCTTCGCTATGGAAGTCTGGCCCTGCTCCCTCCTAAACTGCTCAAAATCCTTACCAAAATGGCTTACAAATCTCTCTCCTCTGGCTCAGAGCCTAGCCTTTCCCTGCCTTCCTCAGCTACTCTCTGCTCCTTCCCCATCCCCTCCCTTGAGATGAGTGGAGAAGAGAAGGCCTGACTCTCCTTTCTATGCCTTCCTTTAACCTGGGTTCCATCTACAAGACTAGGCACGGAGACTCTAGAGGGTCAGGTAACTTCCCACTCCTACTCCCTCTGGCAGAGGCGACCCCCACATCCCCACCCTTCAGGGAACAGAGGTCTGAAGGTGTGTCTGCTGCAAAGCACCTACGCTGCCCCACCCATTGGCCCCACTCATTAGCTTCACTCAGAGGACAAGCAGAGATAAAGCTTTTAGCAGGTCCTCAGGCCTCTCCTCTTAGGAAGAGAGGGAACCAGCAGGAGATCAGATGTTTCTCTTAATCAGGTGTCAGAGCCTGCCATGAGGAACGGAACACCTTTGGTGTGAACCTGCCTTGGTGTTCACGGCAGTAGGAAGAGATGGGTACCAGGACAGGGAGGTTTCCAGCCCTGTTTCTCATCTTCTTGGCAATGTGGGCTTGTGAGGCAGAGAACTCAGCTCCTGGCAGGCAGAGTAGGAGAAATAGATCCCCTGGGACCAGGTGAGTAAATCTCCCAGGTCTAGGGGATCAGGGGCAGAGAAAGAGAAGATGCCTTATAGGATGATCCTAATAGATTTAGATAATGTTCAAGCTGAAAGGAGCTGTAGGAATTTAATGTAAGTCCCTCATTTTACAGATGGGCGAGTTAAGGTCCAGGTCTTTAGAGACCCATGTGCTGTGAGTGAGGATCATGGCTCTGATCTCCAAGAAGGCTGAGGGCTTCATTTTCATGGTTTCATTTCCAGGCCCAAGCATCTATGAGGTGCTAAGATAAGGTGCTAAGTCTACTGTCAGCAGATGGGAAAGGATTGTGGGGAGAGAAGAACATCCCATTCACACACTGCTTTCAACTTATCAGGATACTTTCCTTTTTTTTTTTTTTTTTTTTTGAGACGGAGTCTCGCTGTGTCGCCCAGGGTGGAGTGCAGTGGCCGGATCTCAGCTCACTGCAAGCTCTGCCTCCCGGGTTTTTACGCCATTCTCCTGCCTCAGCCTCCCGAGTAGCCGGGACTACAGGCGCCCACCACCTCGCCCGGCTAGTTTTTTGTATTTTTTAGTAGAGACGGGGTTTCACCGTGTTAGCCTGGATGGTCTCGAACTCCTGACCTCGTGATCCGCCCGTCTCGGCCTCCCAAAGTGCTGGGATTACAGGCTTGAGCCACCGCGCCCGGCCATCAGGATACTTTCATACCCTACTATCACCCCATCATACCATCCACAAGTTGAAAACCCATGTCCTGAAAGTTGGGTTTGGCCTGTGCATGGTTTCAAAACATTTTAAATACCCTTCCAACATGTACTGGAAAGTTTCATTTATTCAATAACTATCTTTTGAGTGCTTATGGGATCAAGCTATACTAGAGAACAAAATAGATAAAAATCCTTGTCCTCATGGAGCTGACATTTTAATGAAGGGGAGTGGGGGGTATCACATAATATCAGACTCCCCACTTCTCTCAAAGAAATCATAAGATCAGCCAGGCGCGGTGGCTCACGCCTGTAATCCCAGCACTTTGAGAGACCGAGGTGGGTGGATGATGAGATCAGGCAATAGAGACCATCCTGGCCAACATGGTGAAACCCCATCTCTACTAAATACAAAAAAATTAGCTGGGCGTGGTGGTGCTTGCCTCTAGTCCCAGCTACTCAGGAGGCTGAGGCAGGAGAATAGCTTGAACCCAGAAGGTGGAGGTTGCAGTGAGCCAAGATCATGCCACTCTGCACTCCAGCCTGGTGACAGAGCAAGACTCCGTCTCAAAAAAAAAAAAAAAAAAAAAAAACCAGGCCACACAGGGCCCACACCACCATAGAGGAACTATGTAGGATTTGAGCAGTGGCTGTGTGCTTCCCCACACTGCGGACCCCTCCTAACCTCCCTTACTCCTTTATGTACCTACCTGGCCCCAGGGGACATTGGAGTTGTGACCCCAGATATTGATGACAGAGGTGTGTTCATCCCAATTAAGTGTGACAAGACTGAAGCTCAAAGAAGGTAACCAATCTGCCTAAAGTCACATAGTTACTAGTGAGGCTAGGTAAGAATATCATCTCTTGTCTCTTTCTTCCTTTTCTTCCCATAACATCACGTTCCCAAGCACTCAGGCACAGGGATGACAAGTGGGAAACTCAACAGGCAGCAGTTCTCTCTCCTAACAATCTTTCTTCTAACACAAGGAAATCACTCCAGACTTTAAGAACTACCTCCAGGTCGGGCATGGTGGCCCACGCCTGTAATCCCAGCACTTTGGGAGGATGAGGTGGGCAGATCACCTGAGATCAGGAGTTTGAGACCAGCCTGGCCAACATGGTGAAACCCCGTCCCTACTAAAAATACAAAAAAATTAGCTGAGTAGTGATGGTGGGCGCCTGTAATTTCAGCTACTCAGGAGGCTGAAGCAGGAGAATTGTTTGAACCCAGGAGGCGGAAGTTGCAGTGAGCAAAGATCATGCCACTGCACTCCAGCTTGTGTGACAAAGCAAGGTTCCATCTCAAAAAAAAAAAAAAAAACCAAAAAAAAACAACCTACCTCCAGGGGCTCAAAGAAGAGAAGAGCTGATATGGCCATTCATCCACTCCCTATCCCTCTGGTAGGGCAAGAAGCCAGGAGAGAGTCAAGATGCCCCAGGTGGGAACCCGAAGCTCCCTCTTCCTAGATGTTCCACCTCCAGCTGCACTCTGGTTCACAAACCCCTGGCTCCCCTCTCTCCTCCCCACCCTCCACCTGGAAGATGGAGGCTTGGAGCTCTTACATTGAACATGTCCTTCCAACCGCTGGTGCTGCCTGAGAGCAGGGTGTCAGGCCGGGCTAAGCCGGCATTGTTGATGCAGATGTCTACACCGCTGTGCTGAGAACGGATAGCCGAGAACATGGAGAGGATGTCCTCTTCATTTGACAGGTCACATCTGTAGGGGATCAAAGTCCCGGGGTAGCCTGCACTCTTACATTCAGCAGCCAGCTCCTATGAAACCCAACAGGGATCTGACTGGGGTGAGCAGCTCACTCCCATGGCTCCCCAGCCAGCCTCAGACCCCCATCCCTGTCACACTCATAAAACACGCTCCTTTGGCAGCTGACTTTCAGCCACGTAGATGTTGGACTGCCCATCCCCTAAGTTTGTCCTCTTTGGTCAAAGTCCAAGGGATGACAGTGCTCCCTGAGTGACGGAGGGAAAAGGTTGTGATCAATGGAGAAACCTCACTATAAACTCAAGTCTTGGCTGGGCGTGCTGGCTCACGCCTGTAATCCCAACACTTTGGGAGGCCAAGGCGGGTGGATCACTTGAGGTCAGGAGTTTGAGACCAGCTTTGGCTAACTTGGTGAAACCCCATCTCTACCAAAAATACAAAAATGAGCTGGGTGTGTGGCTACTTGGGAGGCTGAGGCACGAGAATCACTTGAACCCAGGAGGCAGAGGTTGCAGTGAGCTGAGGTCATGCCACTGCACTCCAGCCTGGGTGACAGAGCAAGACTCTGTCTCAAATAAATAAATAAATAAATAAATAAATTCGAGTCCTGGGTGGAGCAGGGGCCAGGGATCTAGGGAATGGAGAGCTCTCTCTTTTCTGCCTCTTCCCCAACAGGAATACCTCTTCTGCCCATAGGTAATATGCGCCTCTCCACCACTTCATGCTTCTCCACCAGCACCAAGAGTCACTGGTCTGGTTAACCCAGCTTCTTCTCCTGCATTGTGTCAGCCAGTCCCTCATCTCTGAACTATTCCCCTCCCCTCGCAAACTGCAGCCAGCTGGCTCAGAGTTCTCAGACATGCCTTTCAACCACGCCCAGCTGCCAGTCTTCTCTCCCTACCTAAAGGAGGGGTCACAAAGTCAGGACAGATTATTTCTCTCTGAGCCCTGGTGCACCACCCTCCCCTCTGAGGTTTCTCAGGAGACTATGAGGCAAGTCAGGTGGCAGGTGCCATTAGGCATGCCCTGTGCATCTCCAGGCCCTCAGCATGCCGAGAAAGACCTGAGAAGGCAGAGCCACTGAGAGGCAGCCCAGGGGGAAGCTGACATTCAGAGGCAAGAAGAAAACATGCTCTGTGGCCTTCTTTGGAAGCCAGTGACTGGGCACTTGAGCCTCATGAAGGTGACTGTGTAGACATGGGCGAGGGGGAGGAGGCACGCAGTGCCCTAGAGGAAGGGCAGCTTGGCCAGCTGCCCTGGCCTGGAGCCCCTTCCTCCTCCCAAGACAAGCCAGGAATAAAGGACTGGATCGGGTGTCTTGGGACATTCTTTTCTGCTTTAACTTTCTGTGAGTTCAAAAGGTATAGTCCTCTGAGAATCAGATACCCCCCTTTCACCAGATTTTACCCACATTTGATCACTTCAGGAAACAGGAGTTTTCTCTGTAGGAAGCGAGAACCCAAATTCTGCTTTAACATCAATGAATCAATCAATCAAAGCAGACTGTGGGCAAGGAAGCCTGCAGCTCTCCCCTCCCCTGGCACACATCTTCCCACTTCCTCCTCTAGACTCAAAACTCCTACCGCAAGAAAACCAGAAGGGATGTGCTCAGAATGTATTTCTCCCTGTCACTGCCTTCCTGTTGCTCCACCTGTGCCACCTGATCTCCCTACCTCCCCTCAGTAATGATCTACATCATGTCATCACCCTCTCACAACAGGGGCATTCTCCTCTCAGACATGGAGTCACCCTGGGACTGAGTGATCGGCCTGGGGATCCCCTTGGGGCTCAGGCCCCACTTCCTGGCTAGCTTGCGGTAGGGGAGTAGGTGAGAAGGCAAGAGTCACTTCAGAACTAGGGAATCCAGTTGTTTAATCCCTGGCTTGATCCTCTGGGCTCCAAGGCTGGGGCTGGGTCCTGAGCTCCTCAGAATAGAATAAAGGGAGGGCAGAGTGGGGCAGTGATGGAGCCAGGTGACCTTGGGATTATCTGGGTTATAAAGTGTACCTTTGGTCAGCAGCAGGGGAGGGGACAGTCCTCCTTCCTGTATACCTTCTTCCTCTGCCCCCACCCAAGGCCTCCTTACCCTTTCCCTGCCTGAGGACTTTGAGCACGGTGGAGATAAAGCCCTGCAGCTAAGCACTAGCTCAACACTGAGAGTGAGCTTGCAGGGCACATCCAGAGAGAGCCTACGACAGAAATTCCTCCCTGCTCCAAAATGGCCATCTTGATTTTTCTCTTAATTCTGGGGGCTCCCAACCCCACGTCAAGAGAAGAGTAAGGAGTTCCAGGCTGCTTTATCCTCTCAAGGTTTCTGCCCTATTTCACCCACTCTGTTCGCCCCAGGAGAGTGGAGGAAGGCCCACTAATGAATATTCCATTCATTCCTCATGCCACTGGGCATGAGTTACCCACGAGGTGAGGGGGCGGGGCTGAGGCTCTTCAGTAAAGCTCCCACCCCTAACCCCACCCTCAGTTCTGGCTCCTGCCCATCTAGTTGGCCAGCCACCTTGCCCTGCGTGGTAGGTGACTTCTGGGGATTAGAGGCACTTGGCCACCGGGGGTGAGAAGGCCACAGGGGTGAGACCACCATTCCCGACCTCCGGTTTCCCCTTTCCTCGGGCCAATACCCTAGGCAGAAGCGAGGGGCGGGCGGCGAGATGCCAGGGTCGGAGATTCGGTAACTCGAGCAGGGGCTGTCAGGGGAAACGGCTCCTTCAAAGACGAGACTTAAGGGGAAGGGAGAAACCTGCCTTAAGGGATCCAAGAGGCCGCCCCCACTACAGCAAAGGGCCCCGGCGTGGCGGGCAAGTGAATCCGACTCCGGGGAAACGACCCGCCCGCGGCGTCCCCGTCCCCGGCCCGGTCTCACCTCGATGTTGCTCACGGTGCGGGCGCAGCCCACCACCTTCAGTCCCTGCTGGACCAGGGCCCGGGCCACGGCCGCGCCGATGCCCCCCGAGGCCCCCGTCACCAGCGCCAGCCGGTCGCGCCACCGCTCCATGCCGGGCCTGGCCATGGGCCCGCGCCGCCCGCCCACCTCGCTGGACGAGGGCGGCACCGGGGTCGAGGAGCTGACGCCCGGCCGCTCTTCTGCCGCCGCCGCCGACCTGCTGGCGTCCGAGCCGCGCCTCGACCCACCAGAGTCCCGGCCTGCCTCCGACCGGGACTCCACCCTCAGGCCCCCGGCGATCCGCCGCATCCAGTCGGAGGCCGCCGCGGCCCGGCCGCCCCGCCCTCTGAGGGAAGTCCCCGCCCCTTCCGCCCCTCCCGCCCCTCCGCCCCTCCCGCGCCTCCGCCCCGCCCCGGCGTAGGGAAACCGAGCTGCGCGGGAGCGTCCTGGCAGCTGGCGGCGCCGTTTCCCCAGTGAGCGCTTCCCTTTGGGGTCAGGGAAACCGAGGTTTAGCGCGGGGATCCCTCCAGCCCCAAGGGCGCATACTGAAGCGTCCCGCTTAGTCTCCGTTCTCTACTCCTGAACCCTAATGCCAGGATGAGGAATTAAGGGCACTTAAGGTGACTCCAACACTCTTCCACACCCTCCCAAACCCTCCGGTGGCTGATCGGAAGGGATTCAGCCCAGAAAACGCCGAGTGTCTCCGCCATCAACGCTGGGTGACCTTGGGAAGGACTCATTCACCCTACCTGATCCCTTGGCTGTATTAGCCACGGAAAACTGAAACACTCCCAAGTACACGTGTACTGGGGAATTCTGTCCCTAAATGGCCCACCGTGTCCAACTGCCCTAGACCCCCACGCTTACCCCTACCCTACTGTAGCAGATGTATCATGATATATGCCAAAGATTAAAACAGTACCTAATATTTGTTGCTTATGGTGTAGCAGGCATTTTAAATATAGTAACGAATCTGCACAACCGCTCTGAGATAGCACATATTGGTATCTTAATTTTAAAGATGAGTATACTGAAGTAGTGAAGCATGCTTTGGGCCACAGGCAGTCCAGTCTTAGGCCAGGGATGTGCTCCTAAACTGTCTTCACATCATTATCGCTTCTTGGGTTGTTGGTTTTGTTGAGAGCAGAGCTCGCTTTGCTAAAAGTGCTGAAAACTGCGTACTTAATATAGCCATTCTCTTAAAGAAAAAGCATCTTTGAATAACCACCTGACTCCCTTCCAGCAAGCAATGGAGTAAGCAGTGAATGTGACTTGTTTATTCATTCAAAAACACTCATTTGCCTATCTTGTGTTTGGCCCCAATGGCAAAGATTAAAACTGAATTAAAACAGCCTTTGCTTTTAGGGATCTCAAAAGAACATTTGACTCTAACAGTGGTGAAGAGGGGATTCGCCTCTGAGCCAAGGGCTGTGGGAGACCCACAGTCATATTTTAGATTCTGGGATGAAATCAAAAAGGGTCCAAGGAGTCCTTCTACCTCTGCCTCATTCCTATACAACATTTAGATTTGAAAAACAACTCAGGAAGTGGATCCAAGAAATGACACTATGAAAATTCAATCTAAGTTTCTGCTGCTACCCACTTGAAATCTAACTCAAAATCTGATTAAAAGCACATAAAATTCACTCCACCTCCATTGCACAGAAGTACTGATTGTCCCACAGTTTGTATGCTGCCACCAAGTATTATAAACATGTAGACACAAATCTCTAAGCATCATGTGTCTACCGAGCTATTTGACTCGATCTTTTAAATGTCAGCAAAATGCTATTCCTGGGGGAAACTCTCTCCTTCGGTACTCACAGCTGTGACAGCAGTAAACTGTAAGACCACAGTGACTTTGTTACTGGACACCAGATAAGGCTGAACCTCACATGCACAGCCCACAACGTGGTTAGCACTCAGTGCAGCCTTCTGAGCCCAGTCTTACATGTTGAGCAATTACTTATCCAGCAACCCTTGGTTGAAATTCTGCCAAGTTTTGTTTTTATTCTTCTAGGTCAATATGAACCTCTGAATTTAAGAGGTACTTTGTATTATGTATTAGGGAACTTTTAATAAAGCAGTTAAAGTCTCATGGGAAAGTAAGATGTTAGCGAGTATTTAAAGTATCTCCTTAAAAGAAAAAGACTGGAAAACTGCTTTTCTCAGTTGTCAATTCTCATCAAAGGAAGATTTTTGTCTTCAACAGTCTGTATCTCTGTCCTTCACCCTTTCTTTTATTTATTTATTTATTTATTTTTGAGACGGAGTCTCCCTCTGTCGCCCAAGCTGGAGTGCAGTGGCCGGATCTCGGCTCACTGCAAGTCTCGCCTCCTGGGTTCACGCCATTCTCCTGCCTCAGCCTCCCGAGTAGCTGGGACTACAGGCGCCCGCCACCACGCCTGGCTAATTTTTTTATATTTTTAGTAGAGACGGGGTTTCACTGTGTTAGCCAGGATGGTCTCGATCTCCTGACCTCGTGATCCGCCCGTCTCAGCCTCCCAAAGTGCTGGGATTACAGGCTTGAGCCACCGCGCCCGGCCCCTTCACCCTTTCTAACATCAACACTGGACAAGCACTAAGTCCACAAGTGGCAAATACTAAAGTACTGCCACACATTAAGTAGAAACATGTACACCAAATTTTACTGTGCATATTAATAAATATTCTTTATTTTAAATTTTGCACATTGCGCTTTAACATTACATCCAAACATTTTGCAAGTGGATGTCTACTTTGTAAAACCATATATTCAGCTCATTGTCATTTCTGTACAGAATTATAAGTACAACATTACTTTTTGCCACTAAGTTGCTTTAGTAAGTCTCACAGGAAGAGAAACATTTAATGAAAAGAGATGGCTTAAATCATATGGCAGGCCTGCGCAGCCACGCAACTAAAGACACAAGCCTGAAGAAAGAACAAACTAATGAGGATACCTCCACCGTCTCCCAAAACAAGAAAGAATCACATTGATTTAAGATAAAATTTTGCCATAAGTCACTAAATTAAGAGTTTTTTGAAAGAGAAGGCGCAGTAGTCATCGTGAGTGTTTCATTGAAAGACAGAGCTATTTTATTTATTTAATTTGCTCCAGCCGTTGTCAACCAGCCACTACAAATGGGCCTCTTGTGATCATTTAAGCGGCAGTATTTATTAAATTTCTCCTTCAGATGCTGTCGGTATTGTTCTCTATTGCTGTAGAAAGACTGGTTATTAGCCATAAATGACTGTATTTCATCTTGTGAGATAAAGATTTCCTCATCTGAAGTACATTCAGACTCATCCTGCAAATCAAAGCAGTAGTTAAGACTATGACTTAAGAACGCAAAAAGATACGTAATGGAGGACAGCTAAACATTAAACCAGTCTAACTTTTTAGTTTCAGTTCGGTCACATAAAGCCTTTAATTGGAGTGTTTGCAGAATAAGCATCATGTCATTCTGCCTAACAAAGTAGTGAGAATAAAATCTAACCCCTTGAGTTGAAACCTTGAATCTATAATTTCTCCTAGAAGCCTATGAGCCTAGCAAACTACCACCATACCTTGGTCTTAAAAAAATAACTAATTGGGCTGGGCACGGTGGCTCACGCCTGTAATACCAGCACTTTGGGAGGCCGAGGCAGGCGGATCACGAGATGAGGAGATCGAGACCATCCTGGCTAACACAGTTAAACCCCGTCTCTACTAAAAATACAAAAAAATTAGCCGGGCGTGGTGGCAGGTGCCTGTAGTCCCAGCTACTCAGGAGGCTGAGGCAGGAGAATGGTGTGAACCCAGGAGGCGGAGCTTGCAGGGAGCCGAGATCGCGCCACTGCACTCCAGACTGGGTGACAGAGTGAGACTCCTTCTCAAAAAAAAAAAAAAAAAAAAAACCAACAACAACAACAACAAAAAAAAAACTAATTGAAGATGTTACAACTAGTTAGCACATTTTAAGTAGCCGGACTTATCTCTAGCTAGTCCTATCTTGAAACATTCATCTCTACAAACTAAGTAAAAGATAACCATTTCTTACTTAAGAAGTAAGTTACACAGCATCACCATTAAACTTTTACAACCATTAAAACTTTTAAACTTTTAAACACTGAACTTATACAGGTGGTGGCTCACACCTGTAATCCCAGCATTTTTGGGAGGCTGAGGCAGGAGAATCACTTGAACCTGGGAGGCAGAGGCTAGAGTGAGCCAAGATCATGCCACTGCACTCTATCTAGCCTGGGCAACAGAGGGAGACTCCTCAAAAAATAAATAAATAAATAAATAAATAAATAAATAAATATTGAAACTTTACAACCATAAAAAAGAAAAAAACTAGCCAGGCATGGTGGCTCACGCCTGTAATCCCAGCACTTTGGGAGGCTGAGGTGGGCAGATCACCTGAGGTCAGGAGTTTGAGACCAGCCTGACCAACATGGAGAAACCCAATCTCTACGAAAAATACAAAATTAGCCAGGCGTGGTGGCACAAGCCTGCAATCCCAGCTACTCGGGAGGCTGAGGCTGGAGAATCACTTGAACCCAAAAGGCAGAGGTTGTGGTGAGCCGAGATCACACCACTGCACTCCAGCCTGGGCAATAAGAGCAAAACTCCGTCTCAAAAAAGAAAAAAGCTAGTATTCCAAAGGATTTGGTTTCATCAGGACTCTAATGGAAAAGATACCACTCTTCTCCTTCCTTCCCTCCTCCAAGGGCCACCTATACTATGCACTGGGTCAGTTGGAATCAGGTAAAAAGTCTCAGGAACTGGAGTCTTATCCTACATGACACATAAAAGAAGCAAGCAGCCTCTAGTTCAAACTGTACATTCTTCCTGGTATGGAATGGTGGCTACTATAACTTGCCAATCAGAAAGGCAAAGTTTACTTACAGTAACCCGCTTCAGGGAGGCAGACTCCTGAATATAATGCTACCTCTATCCTTTCTCCCAACTACAGATGGTCCTGACTTACACTCAGGTTTTTTTTTTTTTTAATTGGGTGCTCTGTAGCCCAGGCTGGATTGCAGTGGCGCCATCTCAGCTCACTGCAAGCTCCGCCTCCCGGATTCACGCCATTCTCCTGCCTCAGCCTCCCAAGTAGCTGGGACTACAGGTGCCCGCCACCATGCCTGGCTAATTTTTTGTATTTTTAGTAGAGACAGGATTTCACCATGTTTGCCAGGATGGTCTTGATCTCCTGACCTCGTGATCCGCCCGCCTCGGCCTCCCAAAGTGCTGGGCTTACAGGCGTGAGCCACCACGCCCGGCCAGGTTTTATTTTTTGAGAGGAAGTCTCACTCTGTCACCAGGCTGGATTACAGTGACACGATCTCAGCTCACTGAAACCTCCGCCTCC